GTCCTTTTCTAATAATTATCTGTAATTTTTATTATTACTTTATTATTATTGTGATAGTATTATTATTCATTATTAACTGATGTTAAATAAAAGTTATTCAGTAAGATATGCCTTTGTCCAAACTAAAAATATTAAAAAGAAAAAAAGAAAAAAAGTACCCAAAAAACATCCAAAATATCCTTTACCAAAAGCTTATTTAAAAAACTTGGATTTAATGTTAACATTTTTTATTATATGATTTGGAATTAAGGAAACGAAGCTCGGGTTAGTTTTTTTTAAATTTTCTGCTATTTTTCTTATGAAATTTTTATTTGTTAAAAAATATTTATAAAAAATTTGGCTAAATTTCATAATAGCCTGAAGAAAGAACTTTCCGAAATTTCTTCTAAAAGGAATAACTTTTTCCAAGAGAAATAAGTGAACGTTTTTGTAATAAGTTTTTTATAAAATTTATATTAAATATGCATTTAGGATAAATTGTTTTTGAAATATTAATATCTTATGAGATAAAATTTCATTTGAGAACTCTATTATAGATCATGTACATTTATACTGTTTCAATTGTTACTTCCTCTCATTCTTTTATAAAATTTCTTTCTTTTTTTAGATCAGTATATTCTTTTATAATTTTTTTAAAAATGTTGATAACAAGAAAATAATACCACTATGCAAGGAAATATTGTGTTTCTATTATATTCCGGTAGAATTTTTTTGTTTCATCGACTATAAAATTATTTCAATTTACGAGTCGGGAACTCAAATTAACAGAAAATTGATTTGATTACAGATAGGTTTACTCTGGAAAACCCAATTCACTATTCTTATTAAATGACCAGCGCATTTCAATAACAGGAACCAACGAAGAAATGACAAAACAAAAATCTAAAAGCGATTTAGACTGTCCATTTAGTCATTCGAAGCAGATTGTGACCCATATTCTTAATGTATGCCCAAAACTTAGTCATATAAGCGCAATGCTTATTCCACCAACAGCTGGGTCTTCGTCCCAGAGACACTCGTAAATTTTGGCGACCAAGTGCCGTTCAACAGGCCTCAAAAGGATTTGACAAGCACGATCACGCGGGTTACAACAGAAACAACGTGGATGTGTTAAATTTTGATGCAATATTCTTTTCAAATACACAAGATTTTTAAATATTTATGTATTTTGTGTTTATTTAATTATCTGTTTGTAATGCTCCTATATAATATTCCTATGAGATAAATAAAATAAGTCCATTTTTTAAGAATATTTTATGTTCTTTCTCCCTCTTGTAGATTTCTTTTCAATACTATTCTGTCCTGTCTTAAATTTTTTTTTGTTTTTCGAATCCATTTAGTTGTCCCATTTAGCAAGAAAAGGAAACATTCTGCGTATATAATTTTGTATGAACTGCAGGTATAGTTTCTTCTTTGATTTCACTTCCGTTGAAGCCTTTTATTTAAAAGGGACATAATATCCGATTTAGTTGCAGTTCCACATCTACTTTAATATATCATGAAATATTGGTATTGACTTATTGATTTGCCTCGTTTGCAGTACTCGTCAGAATAATTTATCTTTATAAAATATGAAACGTGCTTCATTGCATTATAAATTTAAATTTTTTTTTAATTTGCATCTAATGTTGTGTACACAGTGCATTATATATTCCAAAATGTTGTCTATTCATTCAGCTTGTAGTGACGTATTCAGTTTAATCAATTACATGTAAAATCGACATTTCAGTTATAGTTTGTTTATTTGTTAATAAACGCAACAACAAAAAAAAAATAACACGGAGATCAGAGAATATGTTGCGTACTACCGTGTTTTGTTATTATGAATTGTTTATAGAGAGAACCTTTTCTATGGCCTATAAACTGCCGCGCTTTCAACCGGTTTCTGAATTGTTTTTATAACAATTTTATTTTCAACCATTCGAAGTCGAATAAGATTGAGTTATCTTGAACGCTTACGTACATTTCTTAAGCGGATTGGGTTAATATATCGTCTTGAGTTCATACGTAGTACATCAAACTATCCGGTTAAATCCAGAATGTGTTTGGTATGAACCAGAATGAACATGTTTAAATATTTTCAGTGTTTATATTCATATTGTTTGTTGTTATTATCATTTAAAAACGCCTTTTATGATTAATGAATAATTATCTTAGTTAATTTCTTGTATTTATATTTTATTTAATTGTTTTCAAAAGTTGATTTGCAATTGTTTTACTATTAACTCTCAACTTTGAATTTAAAAATATATAAATCCCTATCAGCTGTTGAAAATTTATTTACTTTATGAGATGTACCATGCACATGGTCTACTACGAAATGAATGGAAAATTTCGGTACTAAAACATAAAAAAAAAGTTCTGTATAAGTATCTACTAATATACAATATAATGCGTGTGTATCAAATAGTTTTGTATAGTAAATTTTTAAAATCAATTGAGCGTAATTCATTTATGATATTCGTATTTTAATATTCAATTAAAATTGATTTTTTTTAAATTTTGTTTTGGTTGTTACTACGTAAACAGTGCATTGTTATTATAGATTCATATAGATACATAATATCTTTTTATGTAATTAAATGCTTTCGTTTTTATTACGTTTTCTTTTTTTAAGTCTATTAGTCATTTTATATTACTCATCTCATATTCTTGGATTGGTATAAAACACTTTTTCCAAAATAGAGTTCACGAATTAGAAAAAAAACGTATTATATTGCTATTGTTGTGAAATATAAGAAGTCTTCCTTAACAATATTTTAAATATTTACTGTGATTCATTTTTAAAAACAGTATTATTACAATGGGCGATGTGATCATATATATATATACATTGTGGGACAATGGGACAGCGCACCGGCTATCAAGTGGTCCCACTGAAGTGAAGGATTAGCCGATGTAGACCACGAAACAACTTGGATTCTTTTACGTCGTTATTAAGTTAAAGTTAAAGGTGCGTCCTTTCGCATAACTACAACTCTTGTTATTGCAAGCAGTTCATTGGGATTGAGATGGGCTGCCAAGTCATCACCAACCCAATCGTGTCCCAAGACAATTATCCTCCTGCTCGCCAGTGCTGGATATATACATTATATATGATATGATCTAAATAAATTCTGTTTTTAATTAAATACTATTTCTAATTAAACACATTACATAAATTAATTTGATGTAATATCGTCAGTTACATATCACATCACACTTGGTGGTCATAGCAAAAGAAGTTCTCAGCGAGATCTTTAAGCGGATATATTTGTTATTATTAATGACTGTCCCTAAACAGATAAAATACCTGACAGCTCGATGAGGTATTCTTAATAATATCTGACATATAAATGAAACTTCATAATAAATTTAAAAAAAGAGTTCACAACTATAAAAGTAATTTGCTCTGAAGTAATGTAATGTAATATAGGTAATCTGTTGGAATTTCTATATATACACTTTTTAAAACTGACCTAATCACAAATAATATATCAATAGCATGAATCGACGAATGATGCTATAGTAACCCTATGTAGCTTTTAGGGTGTCAGGGTTAATTATATCTTCTTCTTCATTCCATTGCGTTTCTAGGGGAACATTGGACCGTAATTAATTGATTAATTATATGATCGACATAAATATAATGAAGGTTGGTGCTGCGTCCGTCAGATTTGTTAATGACTTCGTACTACTACTATTACTGATTTCCTGAGCTCCTTCTGGAACCTAGGATCTCACGTCTTACCATAACGTAATTATGTTGAAACGTGTAAATCCAAAGCTCTACTTATTAGGTTCAATTGGCGAGTTGGGATGTAGTTTCAATCTTTTGTACATATTGCCTTATTTTTTGTTATGTACTTCAATTAGGGAGTTAACAAATTTTCGAAACAAGTCACTAATTTTCAGAGTACATTCTCAAATCTTTAAAAATGGGTTCAATGTAAAGAAAATATGCAGGTATTAAATTTTATTTATTATAGAGATTGTAAATTGTAGATAGATTTTTCAACGAATTTCTTTTTTTAAAGTTTTTATGATATTCCAGTATAATAGTTTTTTATTGTTTAAAAAATGTATAAATCGTGTTTTTGAATATATCTTAAATGCATTTTAAATTACAAATTTTATGTAATTTTCTAATTGAAATATAACTAATTACGTTTTAAACAGAATTTTTCGATATAATATACTATTTGAATATAAATATGTATAGTGTATAATATTTGTGTACTTTTTTCGTACAAATGTAGCTAATATATCTCAGCTCAATTATAAGCTTAAGTATATACATAATGCAATGCGTATAACATTCATACCAATTTTTTAATGTAAAATTATTGATTGGATTGTTATATATACATATATAGTATTTTAGATGCTTATAGTTCCACTTTTCATTTCATGCCATTGCTAAAGTGTCAATTAGTGTAGGTGGGACTTGTGCTGTCGTACAAGGATTTCTCTACATCCAATTCGAATGGCGAACTTATGGCGCCTTCAGTTTTATGACCATTGTTATTATTGTAATTCTCTTCCTGGCTGACTCATTTTTAGGCAAACATGGCTCGCTGCCTGCCATTTTATGATTGTTTCTTTCTGATTGTTGCCTGCTGTTAGTAAGTTTGTTGTGGCAACTTTTAAGCATGTTTCCTTTATGTAAAACAATTTGTTTGCCCTTATTCTGTTTGTCTAGTGTAAATGTGTTAGTTGTAGTTTTGTATATAAAAGTTTTAATTTATACTTTTACTTATATAATATATTAAATTTATTTTTGTCATTTTTGCGTTAATTTTTCTGTGCTTAATTTATACTCATAACCAATTTAATTCTTAGACATTTAAGCAAATAAACGCATTAAGCATTATATTTGATTATTAAATTTATTTTATATATATTATGATTATTCAGTTTATGTAATATTCGATTTTTCGCCAGTATCTTAACGATATCTTTAATGGGGGAAAATCGAAATCGATTTGTTTTTGCTTGCATGTTTATAGTATTTATTTCAGAGACCGGGACAAAATCGGTAAGACACTGAACACGAAGATGCCATCAGCACCAACACACACTGCCGAGGAGGCACGTCTACTTGGGTAAGAAATAAAAGAGTGTGTACCGCAATAAATCGAAATCCTATTTTAGTTTTTGTACAAACACTCCAGCAGTTACCATACAAATATTTTAAATACTAATTTATTTTAAATTGTTCTGAATGAATTTTGATTTAATTTGATTTATTTTACTAAGTTTTTTAAAATATTTTTATTTTATATTGTTAGTAATAAGCAATCCTTCTAACCAATTATTATTAATTTTAGCTTAGTTACTAAACTAGTATGAACATTTAAAAGTACTTAAATTGAAACACCTTCACATCTACCTCATAGCTATAGATCTTTTGCATACATCCGTACTAAATGCATTTATGCATATGTAATTATTTACATATATTGACACAAATTAAACAATTAAATCCATCGTAATTATCTAAGACCATAGTTAAACTTTTGCATAGTGCAGTAGCTTCCAATTACAATTATTTATAATTTTAATAATTTTTAAGTTTTAAATTTTAGTATTTTACGTAAAAATATTTCTAATTTTTTATATGTATTATTTTTCAAAAAAAAGCTAATATTCTCCATAATTATAGCTACCCATATGCGGCGTCAGCTCAAAACAGAATATAAAAAATAATAATTACTCATTAGACATACGTAATAAAATAGGCGTTAAAAGTATCTAAGATGGCCTACGTTTGATACATTGTTGAAATTATTAAAGTTCTGAAGAAAAAAAAAAAAAAAATATTAATAATATGCTATAAATAAACAATATTTTAAATTTATATATGATAAAAAATAACAAATCATTAAAAAATATTAACTGTTTTATATTAAATTTTAAATTATATATTTAATTTAGTCTATAAAAAAATATATAGATAATTTTATACTTTGTTCAATAGTTAAGCAATAGTGTTTGTTTAATAAATAATAATAAACAATAATAATTGTTTAACAATAAAGATAGCTATTTCTTCTTCTTCTTCTTCTTCTTCTTGAGTTAGTGCTATTACGCACTTTTACTCTATAATGGCTGGGGGGTTTAAGATAGCTATTTAAAATTTATAAATATTTGATTTAAAATTTTTCTTTTGTCAATCAAAATGTCAATTAAAAATTCAAAAATTCAAAAATGTAAAAATTTAAAGTTATTCAATTCAGAACGAAAAAAAATTATATATACAACAGATATATAACTTTATATAAATAAACAAAAAAGTCCTTAAAAATATAAACAAATAAAAGAGAATAACATATATTTTTCAAAATGAGATATTTTATAGAATATTGTAAAATGTTTGTTAATCGTTTTCGCAGCACCATGCCAGTTGATCCAATGGATGATATAGAATTGCGTTCAGTTCAGTTGCAATTCCCAAATGCACGTGGTTCAATTATTGACGCTTGTGATCAGCGACGTATACCATCAGATAAAGGGGATATACTTGTTGCTATACAAGGCGATACATCGAAACCAGCTATAGTAACTTATCATGATTTAGGCTTAAATTGTAAATATTTAAAAAAAATTGAACAGCAAATTTTTTAATAACATTTAATCATAATATTTTAGATGCCACTAGTTTTGCGGGTTTCTTTAATTATCCAGTTATGCGTGGTTTGTTAGAGAACTTTTGCGTTTATCATGTTACCGCTCCTGGACAAGAAGAAGGTGCACCAACTTTACCCGAAGAGTAAGTATTTAAGATATGTAAATCTCTATCTGAAATATTTATGATATATAATGTGAAATCTTTGAATCTCTTCCACTTGTTTTATAAGTGTTAATTTGATATCACAATGAAAAAGTTTCAAACGATGTTTACTCACTATCACTATTGTAATTAAATGCTATTCACAGTCTCGTAGCTAGAAATTCACTTTGATAGGGAGTTACAGGTTAAAAACCGAACAAAATTCGATTTAAAGATCAATAGTTTTTTTGAATCAACTGCAATATTCGATTTTATTCCAATTAAGGCAAGCATGTTCAGTTATAGCTGCATAAACAATTAAATGTTCGGACAATCAAGGAAATAATAGCTAGTATTTTAAAGAATTACGCTCATCGCATATATATGCACCCAAACCCGCTGGTTACATACCTGATGTCCCCTTTCAACACTTTTACAAGGCTGAGAAGGCAAACATCGAGAGACATTTTAGATATGTATATATAGGTCACACACTTCTATTTTAAATATATATGGATATGTCACTGGGCATAGTCCATACGCGCCTTTCTTTAGATCGTAATAACTATTATTACGATTTATATTTATATATATTACTTATTGTCTTTTATACCTGACAGATTGTAATAAAATAAATGGATTTCAAAAACAAAAATGTTCAGTCATGCCGGAAAATTATTTTCACAATTGTACAGTAATAATTGCAAAACTTTAGTACATTTAGTAATCTTCTATATTATAATTTGTAGCATTAGACATTATATTATTCATTTTCATAATAGACAACGACACATTATGATTAATGTATTTACTACAGCTTATGGGTTTAATTCACTGGGCATTAGTTTTTAAAGGCTCTTCACAAGTCTCCGAAGGTTTTACTCTGCTAGGTTTTGCCTAGCACTGATAATGTTATACATATATGACTGTTACATTTTTTAAAAACTTGATTCGTTTACAATGTTTACTAGCTTAATTAATTGTAATTTACTTGTAAATGTAAGATTGCTGTATTTTAGTTGAGAGATCTGGTAAATGGGTGTTAATGTGTTAACTAATTTTGCTACCCGTTACAATCGGATTAGTTCAGCAATCTTAAATACACCTGCCTGTCATAGGTTTTCTTATGAATCATTTAAAAGCTTCATATAGTATTATTTTATTTCTATTTTTATTTATTTAGTTTCTGTATTTATATATAAAATGCACATATTGTGGCAACTTTCTTGCTTCTAATAAGTGAAATATTGCTACTATAATAAAAATACTCTAGTTAGTAATATATAAAAACAGATTTTTAAAATTTTGTAAGAATGTCAAGTCTACTATCTGCTATCAAATAATAATTTTTATTTTATTAAAGTTGACTATAAAATTAATATTTATTACTTATGAAACCGGCTTTAATTTAACAGATATAGGTAAATAATACAGTTATAGGCTTCCAGGCTATCATAAAGCTGTGTAGTATATTAGCAGTGACTCTAGAACATAGAGAGTGCCGTCTTGTTGCAAATAGCATGTACCGTTTTTTTCACTTAATCTATCCAATGTTTGAGGCATTCGTATGGTAGAATTCGTATGGTAATGGAGGTTTTACATTTGTATTTTAAAGTTTTTGTTATTCACCAACGTTTAAGAAAGTCGTAATTCGTAGGGTATTCAATTCTAGATTTTAGATTTGTATTTTAATTTTTTTGTTAAAATATAATATATTAATGTATTTTGTTCTTTCTTTACTAGTTATGTTTACCCTACAATGGATGAATTGGCATCACAGCTACTATTTGTGTTGTCACACTTTGGACTGAAGTCTGTTATTGGACTTGGTGTTGGTGCTGGTGCTAATATATTGGCTCGCTTTGCATTGGCTCATCCAGATAAAATTGGGGCACTATGCCTTATTAATTGTGTATCAACACAGTCTGGCTGGATAGAGTGGGGTTACCAAAGTTTTAATGCGCGTTTCTTGCGTACCAAAGGCATGACACAAGGAGTTATAGACTATTTAATGTGGCACCATTTTGGTCGTAATCCCGAAGAACGTAATCATGATTTGGTACAAATGTATAAACAACATTTTGAACGTGGTGTGAATCCAACCAATTTAGCCATGTTTATTAATTCTTATATACATCGAAATGATTTAAATATTGCACGTACACCACCTGGTACTCCAGGAACACAACCATCAACAGCAACACTTAAAATGCCAGTTATTAATATAACAGGTGCTTTATCGCCACATGTTGATGATACGGTTACTCTAAATGGACGACTTGATCCTACAAACTCTTCCTGGATGAAGGTATTTTCATACACGAGTATAACATATAGTATATTATATTGAAATATCTTATGTTATTTTTATGTAGATATCTGATTGTGCAATGGTTTTAGAGGAACAACCAGATAAATTAGCCGAGGCCTTCCGTCTTTTCCTGCAGGGTGAAGGCTACGGTAAGTGTTAGAAACAACATAACTAACTGCAGATACTAAACATATACACTTACTTAAGCGATTCGATAATATTGCATTGTTCTCAAAATTATTTTAAAAATATATACTCGTATATAATCGAAATAGTTGTAGAAAACATTTCATTTTTACATAAAAACACAAAGCGATTTCAATTTAAAAATTTATAAATACATAACAAGAAACAAAATTATTTATTTATATAAATATATATGTAAATATATATGCATATAAATATTATACGAACATTCATAGCCAGTATCGCATTCATTATTGTACCTGCTGCCAGTACTAATGCATCATAATTGTGCACATAATTTAAACAAATTAGTGTAATACTTTCTTTTTGCACCTTCTTTACTCATATTCCTATATGCATACAATGTAGTATTGATATACATTTTTTTGGCGAGTACATTACAGATATATACAAAGTATATAATAGTTTTATATTATCTATTATTTTTAAATTTTGAAATACAAATAATTTAAATTGTTTTAGTTTTATAAAAAGAGGGGGATTTTTTTAAATGGAAATACTATAAAAAATATAAACATTTTTTGATGGTCTCTAAAAACTGTTTTAAGAAAGTTTTATAGATATAAACTAATTGGATTTTTTAATTTTAAATAAAGTTTTCTAAAACGTATTTTCAACAACTATAACTTCAGCAAAATTAGTTATATGTTGAAAATATATGTTTTATTAATTTTTTTTGACTGATAATTAGATTTGATTAAAAAAAATAAGGAACAATAATTTTTTTTAAAACTATATAGTAACAAACATATAACTAAAATAATGTTAAATAATATTTTTAATTATATTTTTAATAATATCATTTTATTGGAATTGAGAAAAATTGGCAATAAAGTTTTATTTGTATTCACTTTAAATTTGTATATAAAGTTATTTTATAATTAATAAGTAAATTTTGTAAATTGTTTTCTTTTTTGTTTAATAACGAGAATATAAATATTTATATAAATATTTTTATTAATTTTTTAAAACATACCAATAAATTAATTATTATTGTTTATGTATAAAAAGTTTTGACAGAAAATATTAAAAAAATGCCTCCTCTTAGTTAACTTATCGGATGCAGTCATAGAGATATAATTTCGAATTAAATTTATTTTCTATATTCTCATTAAAAATTCAAGCAATTAAGCAATATAGCATATAAGCAAAACTTACAAGCTTTGGCTTTTGCAAATTTTCTAAAAGATTTAAACTTGAAATCGGCTTATTGCAAAATTTTTTAACATTACATACAAGTAGTTGTAAAACAAAACAAATTTGATAATATATATATAAATAAATACAACTGCTTGTATAGAGAAGGTAAAAACGAACTAATCATAAAAAGGTTATATTGATTAATATAAGAAACTATATTGTATTTATACTTATAACTCAGATTTGTACAAAATTTATATACATATATTAACATGAAATTCGTTTCAATAAAGTTGTTTAAAATAATTTCAAAAAATTTGCATTTCTAAAGTTTAGTAGAGTATTAGCTCAAAATATAATTTGAAAATTTTTTATTTTATATTTCACCTATAGACATTTTAAAATTTTTTTAATTCAATGAAAATATGACATTCTCTAGTTGTTAGCCCTAGTTAACTGCATAGTCCTCCACATAAATGCGCTATATTCAAATAACAGATCATAAACAATTCATTTTATTTTAAATAAAAGATAATAAAATTAAATTGGACCTAAAAAATATTTTCTTTTCTTTTTCTCTTGATTCCCCCACTCTACACATTTTGATGACACCATCACAAATAAAATATATATAAAATATTGAAAAATAAAAAAATAAAACAATTTTCTTTTAAACTCCACGTAACCTCTTTACTACTGTGCCACTTATCCATTAATGTGCTCATAATCTACATATTCAAATCGTTGTTTGTATAATTTATACTTATATATAATATTTTAAATTTATTTATTATGATTATTAATTTATTTTAAAAAAATAAATTTTCTTTTCTTTTATTTTGCTTACGATAACAAAATTTAAAAAAAAAATCTATATGTAAATTTTCTCTAAATTGTACTGATATATTGGATATATTGGAACTTAAAAAACCAAACCAAACCAAACCAAACCAATTTAATACAACAATATTCTTAAAAATAAACTAAAACTTGCTACGGTGGTATGTATATTTAAATTTTGTGTCCTGAATAATTTTGTTGGCACAATTATTTATTGTTTATAATATAAATATAAATATTTATGCTTTTAGAAAAATCATGAATCAAAAAATATGAGGGATTTAATTTTGAAAATATATTTATATACTAATAAAGTTTTTTATCGTGTAGTGGCACATTTATTTTACTATGTGAATTCTTTAGCGCAGCTAGTGTGTTCAAGGACTAATAAACTTGTGTGAATATAGTTTTTATCTTTAATAAATATAATATGAATACAATTTTACAATACTTTAAATGCAGGTAAAAATTAATTTAGTCAGCACTTTCCAACTGCTTTTTTATAACAAAAAACTTATTTTTTGCTATTTACTATTATAGTTTATTATTTTGAATTCATAAAATTATTTAGTAGTTTAAAAATATATAAATCTATAAATTCGTTTTAAAATTTTTTATGATTCTTAAAATAATCCACAAAGATTATCGGAGATACTTATAAAGAAAATGACTATAAATGTAAAATATGGTTAAATTAAAAAAAAAATTCCTTAAAAAACAAATATATTAACGGTAAACATTTTAATTAACATTTTAACATTTTTAAACCCCATAATAAATTCAAAAAACACATTGAAGATATATTTTTCTTCAATAAATTCTATATTATCTTTAATATATATATATAAATAACGAATTCACTAAATATATAAATTGCAACGATAAAAATACTAAAATAACTTATAATAAATTACAATAATAAATACAATATAAATTTAATAATAAAAAGCGAAATTAAAATTAAAACAATCACTTATAATATTGTAAATTAAAAAAACTATTTATGTATAAACTTGTAAATTAATAATGACGCAATATTTTGCTTTATTTTCAAAAAATTAAAATATATAATAAATATAATATATATATGAATATATGTATATATATATAAATATATATATATAAAATATATATATATAAAATGAAATTAAGTATAGAGATACTAATAATAATCTATTTTAAGATTGATTAATACATCAAAAACATTTAATTAGCTCAATTTGTCAAATTGGATATATCAAAATTTAATGTTTTAATTAAATACATAAATTTATTATGTAGTATTTTTTTATGAATTCAAAATAATAACATAGTTTAATAATATTATAGTTTAATATATTTATATATACATTAAAATTATTAGTGTTGCACTTTTCTATTTTTTAAGCTTCACATATTGACGTTCCCTTTTTTAATTTAAAAATATTTGTTTAATTTTTATTTTTTATTTAAAAGTTTATTCATTTATTTTGTTTATTTTGTATTTTTTTTATTTAGCTGTTGGTTCACTACAAAAGTTGGGACGCAAATTTTCAACAGCAAGCCAGAGCAGCTCCAATCACATTGAGTTGAGAGTACAATGAATCATTTAAATGGGCTGCAGCTCCACCTTAAATTATAAATCGCTTAGCTTTAAACGCATTTTTGCAATAATTGATTTATTATATGATATATTCTTTTTTATTATTATTATTTTTTTGTTTTACCAAAACATAATCATAATGTTGTTGTAATTTATATGTATTAAATTATTTAAGCATTATTATTGTATTTTTACATTGACTGTAAAAAATAATTGCATATATTTTATACATATATACACAGTTTTCATACGTACATTTATTAAAATTAAAAATTGTGCATAAAAATTGCAACAATTTGCATCGCACTCAGTTCATTCATTAAACTATTTTACGTTCTTGTATGGAGTATGAATGGCTTTATTGAAAAAAAAACAAAAAAAATTAATTTTAAATATTGAGATTTTGGCTTTATTAAAATTAAAAAAAGAAATATATGTTAGACTTTCTACAATTTGAAATATTTAATTTTAGGTATTATTATTAATTGTTATTTGTATACAAAATATCTTACAAATTTTATATAAAATCGATCAAATAAATATTGAGGAGATATTGTTTGTATGTAAGTTATTTCACAGAGTTATGCATTTTAAGCTGTTCTTTAACACATACTAAGAATTGAGTTATAATGAAATTATATAATTAATAAAAACAATCATAAATTTACAAAAAATGAATTGCAAATTTTTTTTTGGTTTTTTATATATAATCAATAAATATTGTTTGATATAAATTATAAATACAGTACCAAAGTATATTACGCTTATATGAAGTATCAGTATAATTACAGATTTATATGAATTTTGTTTGTAAGCTGTCCAATTAAATCACTTATAATTACCCAAAATAAACTTTATTTAAATGTAGATATTGATTTTTTTAATATAATATTGATAGGAAGGAAGTGTGTCTTAAACTTTTTTAAAATACTCTTTAAGATCAAACAATAAACCAACTTAAAGAATAGAGGAATAGATATATTTGTACTGGATTCTGATCCATTGGAAATAAAATGATAAATTGCCAGTATTGAGACAGTATAGATTAATATTAACTTTCCAAAACAATCATAGTTTTGTTATACATTTAAATTGTATAAACGATTTTAATAATAAAATAAAACAATACAATACTTCATTTAACCAATTCAGTTACAATTTTCTATAGTTACTTGAAATTGATGTATTTATACATATATTAGTTAAATTGATATTCTCTATTGTACTACAATATTTAATTCTGGGACATAACTTTTGTATGCGTTAATATATGTATTTTGTGTTTTTTAAGTGATTTTATCTCAATAAGTGTTAATGGTATCGATCTCTATATACATAGTACCGATGTGCGATAAAAATTGAAGACTTGAAAAATCTTTTTCGATGGATTTCGTTTAGTTTGTGTCTACTTAATTTAAATTTGTAACCCGTTTTTTCCCAGACATATAGACATTTAGTATAAATCCTCTTTTAAGATTTGGTTCTGGTAAATTTAAATTAGTAATTCGTTTTTCTCCCAGACATCTACGTGTCTGACAATAATGGAATAATGGGTTAAATATAGAGTGTTAATTGATAAATTTGTTCTTTTTTTTAAATTTATAAATTTATTAAATATGTATTATATAAATATAATATTTTTCCCAAAATCAACTTGTAGAAAAACACAGTTTTACGAAATATTTGAATTTCTTTATTTATTGAGAGGAAAGAAAGGAATTTTTGTAAAGGATTTCGAAGGCAAAAATATTTATTTAGTATTTCTCAAGAAACAAAATTCATTTCTTTTAAGAAAAACTTTTAATTAAGCCCGTTATTGCTTTAAGCCGTTATTGCTGGGTACTTACGTATCTAGGAAAAAAATAAGTTATAGATTTGAGCGCAGTAGCTCCAAACTTACCGTACACTATTGAAAAATCAAAAAAGGAAAATTAGCGTCGCATAGTATAATTATAAGTATATATTATTATACGGTAGTAGTTTATGACGAAACTTTTTAATTCAGCTAAAATTTATTTTTAAATGTATATTTTCACTATAATGCAACTCAGTTTGTTGTTTTTGACACTGTTTAGGGCTGCATTTATTGGAAGTGGAAGGGTTTTTAGTTCTTATAAGAAATCATTTTTTGAAATATATTTAAAATTTAAGTGTTTTAAAATTTACTTATTTCCTTAAATGTTTATTGTTGTACAAATAAAAGTTTGTATATTTGATGCATTGTATTTTAAATTATAAATGTATTATGGCACCGATTTATGTATACTTTATTGTGTTCCATTTATTTTGAAAATATTATTTATTTATTTTGTATATTTTATTAAGTGCTTTAGCAATATGTGACTGTTTTATCAATTGTACATCATCATTGTCATTAGGTCATCTCCATCTACTTTCTCGTAAACGGATAGCAACATAAGGCAACTTAACTAATCTTTTTTAATGCAGAAACAGTCAAAACAATACCATTAAATTTTTCTTTATTAAATATGAATTTTTTTCTTAATTTATTCTCATAAAATTGCTATTTCGTATACATTTTAAATTGGAAACTGCTCTAATAAGCTTACATAAATACTTGTAAAAATCATATACACAAAAACACATAAACTCTTTTTCCAAATCCCAACTTTCACGAAGATCAAAATTAGTAATAACAAAAGAAACTGCTTCCCCCTTGTGACCTGTGCCGCTTCTAATACATCTGGGTATCGCCATCGCCGTACAACAAACAGCTACTCCATTATCAACACCTGCAACATCTCCATGTGGCAACAAGTATCAAACTTATTCTTCAATATTTTTTGCAAATTTTAAGGAGCAACAGGAGAAAATGCTAAAGGAAAATCAACAGAAATCTCAACAAAATTCACAACATGAAGAGACTACAATTAAATCCAATAGTAATAACAATAGCAGCAACAATGCCAATTCAATTGAAGCAACTGATAACGACAATAATGGCAATAATGTTATCGATATCGATGATTCAAATGAAAATGATGAAGATAATAATACAATGAATTATTTGGAATTGAAAACCACTGCCAATGCAGGTGAACCTGTGCTGTACAGCGGAACAAATGCAAATAAAATACGTATCACCGAAAACCCTATACCGGAGACAGTTAGTTGCTAAACGCACAAATATATATCGACAGCATCATAAATATATCGAAAAACAATAAACAAACGAAATAAACAACTAAAACTTGCCGCTGTTAATTATTATTACTCGTAGTGTAAAACTAAATCTGCAATGCTAATTGATATTTCACTAAACTTCAAATGAAATTTTCATGCTGAAATGTTATCGTTATCGTTATCGTTATCGATGTTATTGTATAGTTTTTAAAATTAATTTAAATTTGTTTTTGTTTTTAAAGTTTATATAATTGTAGAAACGTTCAAAATCCGAATAGATTAGTTTTATTCTCTATATTCAAGCTCAAATTACTAAACTGAATTAATAACAAAAAAAAAAAAACAAAATCAATAAAATATAAGTGTTGCAATGAGAGTTCGACTTTATATATAATATTATTGGCTTATTAGTTACTGTATATCTCTCAATGTAACCTTGTTATTATATATGGAGTATATATGTTCTAGTATAGTACATTAATCGTTTCAGAAGAGCAGACTTAAGTAACATATATATAAATAATATATAACTGTTTTCAAATAGGTTTAACAACCAATGACCTAATTTGGTCGTCTAATTTATTTGTAAACATATAATTACGAAATAAAATATTGTACACCTGCCATTGCCTACTGCAAAATAATAATAATAATAATAATAATAATAATAGTAATATATATTTAATTTACGAAAATATAAACAAAATCAAATAAAAATTAATTCAGTTAACATAACTTACGAGTAAAATGATGTATAACAGCGACCGCGCATATACAATATATAGAGCACATACTCAATACGGTCTTTGTTATTTAGACAAGTTATTAGCCATAAGAAAACGCGTTTATAACACTTTATAACAGTTGCAATATTTTGATATTATTTTTTTGTTTGATTTGTTTGAATTTTAATATTGCAGTCATTTATACATATATATAAAAAATAAATCAAATAATTTCACTTTGTGCCTGATACACAATTTATTTAATATATTTGATTAATAACAAATAAATATTAAATTTTCAAAAACAAAAAAAAAGAAAATAAAAAATTAAAAGCGAGCTTTCTTGTTGTAAACAAATTTGCTTAATGTTTAAATGAATTAATTAAAAATAATTATTGATTTAAGTGAAAAAAATACGAATCATTGCATTAAAAATCAAAATAAAAAAATTGAAATGGGTAAAACCATTGTGTAGCATATCAAAATTCCTCTAAGTGTTGTAAAAAAAAAATAAAATAAAAAAATATAAATGTTTGCAAAATTTCAATTTACGTTTCATCGGAAATCTATTTTTCTTATATTTATTTAGAAATAATTTTGAAATTGGCATAAAACGCTTGTTCTCAAGGAAATAAAACAAATTTTATGATTTCGAAAAAGTACTTTATAAATAATACTTATAGATATTGTAATAAATAAAATGAAATTCGTTTCAGACTCTAGTAACAGATTGAAGAACAAAAATAATATGACATTTTATTATATATAAAAATAATAATTATTTTTAAACAACTGTAGTAAAAAATTACATCGCTACAGAAAAAATGTAGTAAAAATTATATGAATTTTGCTTTTTAAAATAAAAATAAACTATATTTGTTCGCAAACAATAATATATAAATGACATTACAATAAATAAAATAAATTTTTGAAACCTAATTTGTATCTAATTATTTTGTATATTTGAGTAAAAGTTTTTAAAGTTGGTGGTTACTATTAGTAGGTTTTGATTTTAACGCTATGGATTCTATCTAAAAAAAATATGTATATTTCAATAAATTTTTTCATTTGTGTTGGCGTCCAGACCTCCAATTGGAGTGCCTCTACCCTCATGGATCTACATATATGCATCTTAATGGCTATAAACCCATGCCCTCAGTACATCGCTTTTAACACTTGCCCGGTGATGTTTGGTGACTGGAAATAATTTTACATAGCAAAAAACAAATAAATAAAGGATATATGCAGTATTCAATTTCTCGACAATTGTGATAATAAAGTTCTAAAGATTGTCTGAATTACCGAAATGTTAGAATGACTGATAGGTTTTTGTTTTAAGCAATAATATAAATACCATGTTTTTATGTGTTTACTAATTAACATCGAATGATATAATAATAATATTGTATCTATTTAACATTTTAGCAAACTTTTTATTAGAGTTGAAAATAAAAAAAAAATTAATAAAATAAAAAGAAATATTTAATTAAAGTGTAAAAAATTTACTATTCGAATCATTAAGGTAATACTTTCTTTGCTGTATCCGGACTTTACAGTTTAAAAGAACGATATATGCGCTGCCGGGATTATTACAATTACCAAGTGTCATCATCATTTGCATAGTATAAACGCATGCAAAAAAGCTAATGTTTTATTATGGGCTTCTTTCCAGTTGAAAAAAGTAGCAAATAATAGCATATAATTAAAATTATAATACTATAAAAATTTTATATTAATTCAAATGCTGTTTGGTAATCATGAAATCTAATGGATCAAATACTGGACGGTAATCATAAAATCTATGAGTCATGACATAGCTTCAATTCTAGAGACAATATAGTTATCAAAAGCTTGTTGATTTCTGTTATAACACAACATATAGCACAGTTTTTTTGAGGTCAAAATCCATTTTGATCATGCTTACCTATGCGGGAAATATACGTCGTTGTAATGTATGTACAGTTCCATGCATTGTTAGCAGTATCGTTCCGATTTTCTTTAATAAATATTTTTTTATTTTTTGAATAAGAACTACCAATATATAAACAGTGAATTTTGCTGGATGCATCGATAGTTGATGATTGCTTATGATTTTTTTTACTCTATATTTGACAATATTATTTTATTGTTAATAATTTTTATTTTTTAATATATGTGTCTTATGAACTCTATAGGTTTATGATGTCGTTCATATACATACATAAATAATATAAAAGACATGCTCGGAAGTAAAGCGTTATATAATGATTTACCAGACATTAAAAAAAAGATAATATTGGGCAACAGTTCTCTAAGGAAGACTATTAAAGATGTTCGCAAAATTAGAATAAATGGTAAATTTTTAAAAATTAATTACGTTTTACTTTTCGAATATATATCAAAAAAGCTGACATATTAATTATCTATGGTTTGTGTGACGGTATATTAAAAAAAATACCTACTAATATAAAACCCTTTTAATTAATTATTTAAATTTCAATTTAATAGCTTCCTATGAAGCTATTTTTACTAAGCAACATAATCTGAATAATAATAATAATCTGAAAGTGATCCATGGTCAATAAATATTATATTGGACAACAAGTATTCAGGGTTTTCAATCATAATGAAAAAAATAATTTTCAATTTTTTACAAAATTCTGTAATTTTTCAGCGAGAACTATTCTTCCCTTATTTTAGAATTCTGGGGTCTTATCTTTGTAGATATCACACCATTGATAATCTGATGCTGTAATAAAAGGACTTAACGTAGTTAAGGGCTATCTCAAAAACGTATAACCAGCGTAATTAGAGTTCTTACATCAATAAATAAAATTAAACAAAAACAATAATAGAATGTTAATTATAATATTTTTTAAATTTAGTTTATTATTTTTATGACTTTAATTTAATATATGGTATAGGTTAAGTTAGGTTTCGTTTGATTTTCTGGTTCAAGAGGTCGTCACATAGTTCAACTTGGCAGTTAGTGATATCAGTGCGAACCAGTTAACAAAGATAGCGGTTCTGCCAATTAAAAAAAGATTCGAGCGGTCTTAACAAATTATCATTTTCTTTGAGATTCGTATACCATATTTCCTGTATATGTCGCTGTCGACCAATTCTATTTTCAAGAAATATGATAATAATAGAAAATGCTCTGTTAGTAGCTCTACCGACATTTTACAGTCTGTTCTTGACAGAGTGTACGCAGCTTGTACATTTTACGTTGTAGCTGACGTCGTTTTTTGATGATATATATATTGATGACTTTATTCAATTAATAATTAAATATTAATAATTAAATATTAGGTATAGAATCAAAATTTTGATTAAGTTAATTTAATCAATAATATAAGTTAATAGTAATATTTCGTGAAATAATAATTTATATATTAATATATATTAATATATAATATCCTTATTAAATATGTGTTAATTGAGGTTCCATGCTCCACTTAGAAGAAAAGAAATATATCATCATCATCAGCATACATATCAACTATAAAGTTCTTCTACTAAAGTAAACAATTGAAGATAGTTTGTAATTATAGTAAATATAATTTTTTATGCTATAATAATAAGTAGCATTTTTATTAGGTAAATTATTAACAAGGTTTCTATCGTTTGAAGGCAAAATATCTTAAGTAATAGTTAAAGTAGTGTTTTTAAAACTTACGTGTCGTTTATATGATTTTTGGTATTAATAAGGTACATAAGGTACAACTAATCGAAACCACTATCAAAAAAAAGTTAAGTAGGCATGGATTTGTAATACTTGTATTTGACATAATATTTTTGATACTATACAAATATCTTATAAATAAATTTTCATTCTGCTATATAGTCACATACTTTGCAGCTATATATGAATATATATTTTGTATTAAACTTAGTGCATGTGAATTAACTTACTTTATTAACTTTACAATAAATATATTAATCTTTGCAAATATTTGAACAAACACTATAAATATGGTAAGTTCCGATAATAGTGTATTTATATGAAAAATTATTTTATGTCAACATTTTTATTAAACAAGTCTATCCTTGTTCCTAATAAATATTTCGTAATATCATCTTAAAGGTTTTCACAAAAAAACGTGATCCAATGGAAGTTGTGGTCTTTCCCGAATATGAGCCATTAGTTATAAACCAGAAAGTTATTTCAGATGCATATTTAAATGTATTTGTTGGTGAAAAGCAACGTCTGCATAATTTGGAAGAACACAGGTTTGAGGATATTCAAACATTGCGTTTGGAATTTAAAAGTAAGCATTCATTTATATATATTGTATTATAAGATATTAGTTATAAATCGTTAAATAAACATTCTCAGATATCTTACGGATTCGACAATTTGAGATATTGCCTAATCTTACTACACTTGTATTGTCTGGCAATAAGATTGAAATTATAGAATGCTTAGAAACATTAACATCACTGAAGGAACTAGATCTAAGTTTTAACAAAATAGAGAAGATTGAAAACTTAGATACTTTAGTTAACTTAGAGAGACTTCTACTAGCACGTAATTTAATCTCAAATATAGAAAATTTAGATAATTTGGTTAAGTTGAAAATACTCAGTCTAAGCGGTAATAAGATTAAAACAATAGATGGGGTAAATTAACTAATATTTTATTGTAAATAAATTTTCGAGATCTAAAAATATACTAAATTTACAGTTAGATCGTTTACGTTTCTCTAAAAATTTCAAAGCAATAAGCTTGGAAGGTAATCCTATAGCTAGTAATCCGGATATTGATTTGAAATACTATACGATCACAATACTACCGCACTTAGAATATTATGATTTCAAATACATAACTGTCAAAGATCGACAGTTGGGGCTTGAAAAATATTTGTAAGTGATGTAAGAAAAGTAAGTAAGTAAGATTTTATTAATATCTAGTATTTGTTTTAAGTTATCGACTGCGTGCGATTGAAGCTGAACAAGAGGATGAAGTGAAACAACGTTACGAAGCTGAGAAGGAAATATCTGATGCTGAAAAGTTGATGGGAGCTTTTGTAGAACATTTAAATGGTCATCAACTTTTCCGTTCACTATGGGAAAATGATGAAGATGGTCGTATACTTTTAAGCATTGGTGACGCTGCAGATGAAATAGTTACAGAATATGACGAGAAGATATTTGAATTAACGCAGGAAATATATAAACATGGTTTGGAGAAATATCACGAGCGTTGTTTAGAGGAGGAGGAATTTGCTGTATGCATGGAAGAATGTCAAACAGATTTTCAAAATCAATGCCAAAGTATAACTGAAAAATATGTAACATATACAGAAAAAGATTTGGAGCAGTGCGCACCACTTCTGAAAAGAATTGAAAAATTTTTATTGATGGGTGGTGACGAAGAATCACCAGAATATGCCACAATGTATTTCTATGTTGGTGAAGTTATGGATGAATTTGATATAGAAACTAATTCTGTGTGGACACAACTGATGAAGATTGAAATTCATTTGCATGAAGTTATTGAAGTATATATTATATATATTATTAATTATTTAGTATTCTAATTTCCTGATTTAAAATTTCTATGAATTGCTTAAGGAGACAATTGTAATTTATGGCCGCAATTTATATGACTTAATATCAAAGTTTGTCGAGCACGTTCAGTCATATTTTTCTCAACTTCGGGATGTGGTGCAGAATTTTGTAAATAATTTGCAAGACGAGGTCTCTGAATATTTGATAAATACGATAGGAACAGAAGAATATGAAGATGTTTTGCCAGAACTAAAACACTGTATGGAAGATCGCGATGCTCTTGATAATTTATTAGCAGGTATGAAAGACGCACACACTGGACGGATTGACGAACGTGAAGATCGTTTAATAACTCGAAGCAGGGAATATGTTGAAAATTTAATTGAGGATCTACAGCAGTATGTTTAATATAGTACTATGTATTTATTATAATAGTCTTATGATCTTTATTGGAATGCTGATTACATTTCTCATTTAATATTTTATCACATAAGTTTAAATCAACCTTGCCACTTAATTGGAAATTTTTTACACAGTTTTTCTGGTATTCATGCAATGTATTAAAATTTGCATCGTAGAATTACAATACAATTTAAACATTTCATTTAGATTACAAATTTTGATGGATTGTACGTACACCTAAAAAACTGTGACAAAAAAATCCAATAGTGAGGCTAGGTTAAGTCTAAATGTCGTCATTCGATTAAGTATCCATGTGTGGTAAACGATTTTAGTTATATTAAGCCTAATAATAGATAGAGATTGAGTGATTGAAAAGTACTTTTAAGTTTGTTTGGTTTTATGTAATTTTTCCCTTGTTAATTGTGGAAAAAATTTTGTGATTTACATTTTTTCAATTGTTGTTCTTAAATATAAAACTAATGATGGTCATTACTGTTATTTTAGAAATATTTATGGTGAGACGAAATTTTGCAGATATAAGTACGTTGATGTAAGAGTATACTTATATAGTTAGCATAGCCGAGCGCCTACACTATACAATGGGGTTTGTTATTGATTATACATTTTGTTCTAGTATCAAGAACACTGAAAAATACTAGAGGCATAGGATGTTTTTCGAACAATTATATTCCACATCAAAAGTTATTCCATTTATGCATACATTTATTTTCCTTCTTAGTAAAGATCGAGAAATTTAAAAAAAAAATGTTTCATGAATCGAAGAAACAATAGTCGTTTCTTGTTTGTAGCTGATTTGTTGATTGAAAATGAATTATTTGTCCCCTTATTATTATTTGTCCACTTATTCAATAGATCTATACTTAAATTTCAGTATATGTGCTGGTAATATATGTATATATTTATATATATACATATATATAAATATATTGCACATATATATGTGCAAAATGCACATATAAAATATTGTTGAATATATATATTGTTCTATAAATCTATAATAAATCTATACTTAAATTTGGGAATATATGTACATATAAATATATATATGCGTATGCAAGATTTACATATAAAGTATTGTTTTATATATATATATATTATTGTTCATATATTTATATTTCGTTATTAAGCATATATTTCTCTCTATTTCAAAATTATAAATATACACACACATATATATATATATATATATATAAATAATTTATAGAAAAGAGGAAACACGTCATAGTAAAAAAATTCTGGAAATCAATGATTTTGTTGTCTACACTGTCGATAGATGGGAAGCATATCGCGAAGAAATAAGAAAGGACTATCTACTCCACGGTGACATTATAACTGCAAAGTGAACTTAAGATTAATTAATTGTAAAAATTGTATTTAAAAAAAATATTGTTTAATTTTTATGATTGTTATGTATATTTCTATGCAACTTTATCAATTCATATATAATAAATGTTTCTGGTGTAGATAAATTATAAGTGAGAGTTTTTAATTAACTTTAAAGAAATTTATAAAAATTTATTAAATTTTTTATCAAATTAAGTTTGATTATTAATGCATTCCAGTATTTAAATCAATGACCCTGACTGTATAGTGAAATTTAAGTGCGAATGGCTTGAGTCACATTAAGTCAGAGAAGAAGGAATTGAATGAAGTTGCGCTAAATTATATGGAAGATAAATTATATGGAAGAAGGAGTTATGAACATAGGTAACAGATTATATCTAATATAGCTCAATTACATGTAGTAAAAGAAGCAAATATCTAAGTGGTAATTTACTATATTCAAAAATGTTAAAAAGGCGGAAAACATCAACAATTTTGAATCCTAACCAATATTTTGAATATTAAAAAAAATAAAGAAGCCAGAAAGTTTCAGAATTGAATTTACAGGACAATTGTGACGAAGATCGTTAAAAATCTTGCGTAAGATCATTGTAAAGCCGATCGTAAGATCGTTTGTAAGATTTTAGCTATTCTGGCTTAAAAGTTTTCCAAAAAAAGTTTTATCATTTAAAATTCGTGGTAGAAAGCTGTTTTGTTTTATTTCTTTTGTGGTGAAATCAAAAACATCCGCTAATCACTAACGCATTCAAGTAAATCTGTTTTAGATCTGTCCTAAATCTGTCCTAGAAATGATCTTTAAAACAATTTATGTTTATTTGTTTGCATTTGGTACTCTTCCTTTGCTTTTGCTTACGAAGTCACCGAATAATTTCACTGCGAATAATAACTGCAAATTCGGATATTCGAAGACACCGTATTTACAAAAATTCCGATTTTATTTTCAACTTTGGAGACTTCATTTATTGTCCGATTAATCGGATTCTCCGAATACTTTTTAAAACCGAATACGAACAGCACTATTAGATAGTACTTGTTTAGAATTTTATGCCAGAACTTTTAATTTTTCTAAGTATACAGCTGACTAAATATGTTTTACATATGTATTCTATATAATAGATTATGTTAGATAAAGTAGCGATCTTAAGAAAAATATTCCATAGAAACTAATAGGTTCAAAAACCACATTGATCCTTTAGCAAATCTTTGAATATTCTTTATAAGAAGTTCCTGTCACTTGCCAAAATTGTCAGAAAAGTAAGCCCAAAGAATAGTTATTCGACTTCGACAATACGCTGAACAGTAATAGTAATTGTTAAATGGGAAGTTCTAGCATGGTTTCTTGAACGGCTCCGACGCGATAACAAACCTCCTGCGAGACTGATATTTTTACGGGGCACATTAATGAGATCGTTATATTGTTTCTTAGTGGAATGCGGTAAATTTGAATATTGTTGAGAATTTCCACTTTGTATTAAATTGTTAATACAGACAGATTTTACCAACTATTTGCATGATGTCAGCGATATGCCATAATCCTTCACATGTTCCAAACTATTGTTACAGCCACCCCGTTTGATCAGCCTGTCTGCTTTGTAATTGCTCAAAATATCCATACCACTGAGAAATGTTTAAGTGCATCTGAGAGTAAATGTTTAACTACATCGACATCTCATTCAGAGATTGTAGTACTCTAAACTTAAGAACTTTAAAACAGCTTGAATATTTGAATATAAGTACATTCCTATTCAATATATTATACATAGCGATCACTTTTACCTGAAAAATACTACAATAATTAGGAAGCCTATTATATATATCTTTATTCAATCGCTCCGAGAAAATTCCGCTGTATACACCAACACCTACTTTTGAATCGTGAGTATGTATGATTAAATCGACCCCTAATGAGAAACATCCTAACAGCCAAAAATCTCCAGATGGAAAATCGATATCAAATTTTTTGTTTAAATAAGAGAGATGAAGTCAATATTTCTTAGAGCAGGACTAAAGAATAATTCAGTTCTATATACTTATAACCAGTAATTTACATATTTATTAATCAATTTTATCGGTACTGACTAATCTCGTATTTAATGTATTCTTCTTGATTAGAAGTCGTCATAAGAATTTCCATAGAAATACATACATAAAATATAATTTAAGTAGAACGTTGTGACAATAATGTGTTTTAGTATAGACCAGAGTATAGTTATCAGTAAGAATAAAATACTTTTTATAGCGTACAATGTGTACTTCGAACGATATTAAAACTTAAAAATTAAGTAAGCTGTGATTTTAATCATTTTTTTTATATTGTAAATAAATTTTTAAAATATAAAAACATTATTGTTAATCAATATTACATATTTGTGTTTCTTCATCTTCATAGTTATTTATTTGTCTTAGGTTGGTCTAATGTACAATACAAAGAGAATATATATTTATATAGAAGGGTAGAAAATTATTGAACTTTTTCAGTTAAACAAACCACCAATAAAAATGGTAAGTTCTATTTACACAAATTTTTCAGATACTATAGAAATATGTATATATATATGTTATAGTTAGCCCAAAAAAAGGATCCCGTAGATGTTGTTATATTTCCACAATATGAGCCATTAGTTATAAACCAGAAAGTTATTTCGGATGCATATTTAAATGTATTTGTTGGTGAAAAGCAACGTCTGCATAATTTGGAAGAAATTAGGTTTGAGGATATTCACACATTGCGTATGGAATTTAAAAGTAAGCATTCATTTACTTAATATATTGTATTATAAGATATTAGTTATAAATCGTTAAATGAACATTCTCAGATATCTTACGGATTCGACAATTTGAGATATTGCCTAATCTTACTACACTTGTATTGTCTGGCAATAATATTGAAAATATAGAATGCTTAGAAAAAGTAACATCACTGAAGGAACTAGATCTAAGTTTTAACAAAATTGAGAGAATTGAAAACTTAGATACGTTAGTTAACTTAAAGAGACTTTTACTAGCACATAATTTAATCCCAAAAATAGAAAATTTAGATAATTTGGTTGAGTTGAAAATACTTAGCCTAAGCTACAATAAGATTAAAACAATAGATGGGGTAAATTAACTAATATTTTATTGTAAATAAATTTCCGAGATTTAAAAATATACTAAATTTACAGTTAGATCGTTTACGTTTCTCTAAAAATTTCAAAGCAATAAGTTTGGAAGGCAATCCTATAGCTAGTAATCCGGATATTGATTTGAAATACTATACGATCACAATACTACCGAACTTAGAATATTATGATTTCCAATACATAACTATCAAAGATCGACAGTTGGGGCTTGAAAAATATATGTACATAAGTAATGTAAAAGATAAGTAAGTAAGTAAGATTTTATTAATATCTAATATTTGTTTTAAGTTATCGACTGCGTGCGATTGAAGCAGAACAAGAGGATGAAGTGAAACAACGTTACGAAGCTGAGAAGGAAATATCTGATGCTGAGAAGTTGATGGGAGCTTTTGTAGAACACTTAAATGGTCATCAACTTTTCCGTTCACTATGGGAAAATGATGAAGATGGTCGTATACTTTTAAGCATTGGTGATGCTGCAGATGAAATAGTTACAGAATATGACGAGAAGATGTTTGAATTAACGCAGAAAATATATAAACATGGTTTGGAGAAATATCACGAGCGTTGTTTAGAGGAGGAGGAATTTGCTGTATGCATGGAAGAATGTCAAACAAATTTTCAAAATGAAGGCCAAAGTATAACTGAAAAATTTGCAACATATACAGATCAAGCTTTGGAGCAGTGCGCACCACTTCTAAAAAGAATAGAAAAATTTTTATTGATGGGTGGTGATGAAGAATCTCCAGAATATGCCACAATGTATTTCTATGTTGGTGATGTTATGGATGAATTTGATATGAAAGCTGATTCTGTGTGGACAAAACTGATGAACATTGAAATTCATTTGCATGAAGTTATTGAAGTACATATATTATATATATTATTAATTAAGTAGTCTTCTAATTTCCTAATTTAAAATTTCTATTAATTACTTAAGGAGACAATTGTAATTTATGGCCGCAATTTATATGACTTAATATCAATGTTTGTCGAGCACGTTCAGTCATATTTTTCTCAACTTCGGGATGTGGTGCAGATTTTTGTAAATAATTTGCAAGATGAGGTCTCTGAGTATTTGATAAATACGATAGGAACTGAAGAATATGAAGATGTTTTGCCAGAACTAAAACACTGTATGGAAGATCGCGATGCTCTCGATAATTTATTAGCAGGTATGAAAGACGCACATACTGGACGGATTGACGAACGTGAAGATCGTTTAATAACTCGAAGTAGGGAATATGTTGAACATCTAATTGAGGATCTACAGCAGTATGTTTAATGTAGTATAATGTATTCATTATAATAATCTTATGACCTTTATTGGAATGTGGCTTAAATTTTTTATTAAATATTTATTAGGAATTTTACTCATAGTTTTTTGGAATAGATGCAATATAATCATGCAAAAGATACTTGTATATTGATTATATATTTTGTAGCAGTATCGAGAACATTGAAAAATACTAGAGGCACACTTAGGCACTGAAATTGTTTGTTCCAGTTTATGATATTTTTCGAAGTATAATATTCTACATCAATGATTATTTTATTTATGCTTAAAGTTATATTTCTTCTCAGTAATAATCAAAATAAAATTCGAGTAATTTGTTAAAAAATCGCCCCAAGAAACGAAAAATAGTAGTTGTATCTTGTTCATAACTGATTTGTTGATTGAAAATATTAGTTATTTATCCTCTAAACTCATCCAATAGATTTATAATTAAATTTAAGAATACATGTGACATAAGCTTAAATATATATTTTATATTTATACATGTATATTACAAGCATATGTATATTTATATATATTTATTCAACAGTATGCTGTATTTATATATATATATATATAGAGTTTATATATAGTATACTATTTTATTATATATATTACTCACATGTATGCATTCATATTATACATATATTAACTTATACAAATATTCTCTTCTGTTAAGTACAGATAAATTAAAAAATTATTTACAGAAAAGAGCAAG